CGACTGTGGCGAAGACCTTGTGTTGACAAGCCAAATGATGTCTGATGGCTGCCTGCCTCCAACCGCTGTCCTGGGAATGCCCATGGGGGCAACAAGCCTCTCTTGTGGGAGCAATGGGCCTTGGGGGCAAGTCCCTGGGCTTGCCGTGTGGCTGGAGTGGGTGTGTGGATGCCTGTAAAGGAGCGCATACTCCTGAGCCACTGCCTGTCAAAGGGGAGGGGGGCACTTGTGCTGACCAGGATTGCTCTGCTGTCCAGCAGACTCCTAGTTGAGTCCTGGCTGATGCCTTGAGGCAATCGCTTGGCTCCGTGGGCCCAGCAGTACTGCTCAATGACAGCAAATGACCTCTTCTGTCTTAACCAAACAGGAACTCTAAGAAGGCGTCGAAGGCAGGGCTGCCAGCACCCCTGTCACTGTATGACTCGGAGGAGGAGGAGGAGAGCAAACCCATGACTTACGACGAGAAGCGCCAGCTCAGCCTGGATATCAACAAGCTGCCGGGCGAGAAGCTGGGGCGTGTGGTACACATCATCCAGTCACGGGAGCCCTCATTGCGTGACTCCAACCCTGAGGAGATTGAGATAGACTTTGAGACTCTCAAGCCCTCGACGCTGCGTGAGCTGGAGCGCTATGTGCTGTCCTGCCTGCGCAAGAAGCCGCGCAAGCCCTACAGCGAGAGTGAGTGCATTTGTGGGGAGGCGGGTGGCGCCTGGGGGTGGGCACCTTGTCCCAAGGCCAGCTAGGGGACCTGGAACCAGTGCCGAGGGTTGGGGGTGGCTGCGAGGCAGCCAAGTGGTGTGGGGAACAGGTCTCTAAATGCCTCCCCCCTTGCAGCCATGAAGAAGCCGGTGGGGAAGACGAAGGAGGAGCTGGCGCTGGAGAAGAAACGAGAGTTGGAGAAGCGGCTGCAGGACGTGAGCGGCCAACTCAACTCTGCCAAGAAGCCGCCTAAAAAGGGTAAGTGTGGGTGTCTGTGCCGCCTTGGGGGGCGTGGAGAGTGACCTGAGCCCAGCCCCTTGTTCCTGTTCACGGCCCTCCCCATCCTCTGCCCACAGCCAACGAGAAGCCAGAGTCTGCCCAGCAGGTGGCGGTGTCACGGCTCAGCGCCAGCAGCTCCAGCTCAGATTCCAGCAGCAGCAGCTCCAGCTCCTCGTCTTCAGACACCAGTGACTCGGACTCCGGCTAGGCTGGCCGGCGTGGCAGTGGCTGTGAGCGCAGTGGCAGTATCACAGCTGGGTGGAGCACAGGCAGGTTCGGAAGAGGCTCTGCGGGACCGGACCCTGTGAACCGTACTGAGGGCCTCCACCTGGCAGGCGGCACCCCCGGGGCTGGGGAAGGCCTGCTGAGGACCCCCCACCCCACCCCACACGGACTTGGGGGCTGCCCCGATGTTTACAGTTCAGAGGCTTCTGGGGGTTTACCAGCACAGGGTCTGCGCTCCCGCTCTGCCCCCCCTCCGGCATGGCTTGCCTTTCCCCCGTTGGGGGAGCAGGCCCCGGGGCGCAGCTCCTACCCCGGCAGGTTTTATCGTTTGTTGTTTTAGGTTTATTTCCTGACTTGTGGGAAAGCTCTTTCCCAGGTGAAAAGGTTTGTTTTTTTTGTTTTTTTTTCTTTTTTTTTAAATGAGAAAAAATGGTTTGAAAGTCTCAAAAGTTTGGATTTGCTCTTGTGCGGGCAGCTGGACCGACAGACGGACGCCATGCAGGTGCCTCGCCCTCTCTGGACCCCCTTGGACATGGACTCGAGCCCACCCGCTATCACCATCACGGGCATCTTACCCTCCCCCTCTTTTCCCCCCCCCAAGCGCTGGGGGCAGGGGAGCTGGCAGCGTCCTCATTCCCTCGTTTTGTGGAGGTTTTAATTTATTTTAACTGCGTTTGTGCTGGCGCGGGGCCTTGCAGAGACGGGCCCCCTCCCGCCCGGCTTCTCGGACTGTGTGTTGTACATAGCCCCCGAATGCACAATCAAGGCAGCATGTTCCTTACCGCGGGGGGGAGGGGATGGGGAAGGGGAAGGGGGCGTCTGTTTTTTATGTTGACTATAATTTTTTTTTCTACTTTTTTTTTTTTTTTCCCCCCCCCCGTTCCTTCCCCGCTCCCACCCTGTACTAGACCTTTAGGGCCGTGTTTTCATCTGACTGTATCTGTTTCCAACCTTTCGATTCTTTAACATGTAAATAAAGAAAATATTATTCGAGTTGATGGGGCCTCTGGGGTGTCTCTGTCCTTCGGAGTGCTGCCCTGGGGGGTTACAGTCCCAGCCGCTGGGCTGCCCCATCCCCTCTCTTCCAGGGAGGAGACGACAATCCAGGAATCCTGGTTCTGGTCCTCCTGGTACTTCTAGGGGCAGCTGTGAGCTCTTGTGTCCCATGTTTCTTCCCTATCAGGGTCCCCTCATCTGCATAGTGTTTGACAGGTCTGTTCAGCTGCCTCCCTCCCAGTGGGGGTACTTTTATCCCAAACACCTTTGCTGACATGCTGGGGCCCCACTTCTCTGCATGGGGCACATGTTTCTTCCCATGTCAGGCTCAGCGTTGGGGGTCTGGCCTTCCTTGGTGTTCCCTGGGGGATATTGGGCATGATGGTTGTCAGACCACAGGCTTTCTGGCCACCTGTTGAAAAGGGCACGGGCTTCTATGCAGGCTCTGTTGAAGGTGTGTCTGGGCCGCTGGCCTGTGCCATCCCCTCTCAATGTGGCCAGAGGGCTGGTCATCCAGGTGGCTGCAAATAAGGAGCCTGGCTTCTATCCCCAGGCCAAAAGGTGATTGGTGTGAGAGGACTCAGGAGCTAGCTGTGTTATTCATTAGAGGTAGTGACATCACTTCCTCTTCGGTTTTTCACCCCCTCCAGCTCAGCATGGGCTCCCTGCAGCTTCCTGCTTCCCTGGTCCGCAGAGCGCCTCCTAGCGCAGGGAGGCTGGGAAGGCAGCTGCACTAAGACCCAGCTCCATCCTCCAGCCAGGCTCTTGACCCAGCCATGCCAACCCCTGCTTATGGGGCTGGGGGGAGCACCCACCACCTGCTCGCCTTCCTACCTGGGAAGGGAGCACTAGAGCATGTATGGGGAATTCGAGCTCGTTTTGTTTGGGGCCTGCTGTACTCTGAGGACCAGGGTGAAATCTAGTACAAGGGCAGGGTCTTGGTGGCATGAAGACAGTCATGGATGGGAAGGGGTCTGCAATAGGCAGATAAATGGCCCTAGCAAGGTGACTGTCCGGTCTTGAAGACTTCCGGGGTAGGCAATTGCATCACCTCCGGAGGGAGACTGCAGCTAGGTCCTGTGGCCCTCAATGTCTTGTCCCATAAGGCTGCCTGCCTCGGTGTGTGGTGGATAATGTGGCTGTAAGCCAGGAAGAGCCTGCATCTGGCTCCTTGGAGGACGTTGAAGCATAAACCCCACCCACTTGTTCTGCCATAGCTGTGGGGTTTTCCTCAGCCCCATGAACAGGGGGTTCAAGCGCAGGGGCCTGTGGTTCCTCATAGCTGCCCCTGGAGGGAGACAGAGACCTGCCAACCGTGCATGGCTCAGACAGCTGCAAGCCGTCCCTGGGAGCTGAGAGCCCTGGCTGCTGGGCAGGGAGGTCAGCCCTGCCTGCATCCTGCCGCCCCCAGGAGCCGGTGGGGAAGATGGCAGGGTGGAGTTTGGCATGGATTGCATGCAGGTAAGCATCCAGAGGGGGCATGGGGTGGGGGGCTTCTAGCCCATCCCTCTGGGGTCTCGAAAGCCAGAGCAGGATGGTGGGGTGCTCGGATGTGGTTGGGGAGATGGCACCTAGCACCCAGAGCCTTTCACCTTCTTGGGGCAGTCCAGGCTTCACTGTTGGTGAGCCTGGCTGGCTGAGAGCCCTGAGGTCTTTCTTTGCTGGGGGACACTGTGCAAGATGTGGGCATATCACCCACCCTGGAGGCAATTGGGGAACAAGGGGGTGTTCCACCTTTGTGGAGGAGTCCTGATTTCCCCACCCCTCTGCTGCCCCTCCCCTCTCCTTTTGCTGTTAGGGGGTCTCCCTACATCACTCCTCTTCCCAGATCCTCTGCTCCCAGAAACAGGTCAGGCTGAATCCCAGCCACTTGCCTGGGAGAGGAGGCAGAGGGTGAGGGGTGGTTTTAGGGTAGTGGAGATGAACAGGCCAGTGCAACTCCACAAAAGAGCAGTGGTCACAGGCCCTGACTCCATTTCCCTGCTCCACTGGCCAAGAGCTCGTTCTCAGAGCAACCGGCAAGAATTCAGACATTTGGTCCTGAACTGTATCAAACTCCCTCGCACCAGGGCAGAGGGGTGGGAGTCTGGGACTCCTGGGTTGTGAGGGGTCTGAGACCTCAGCCCCCACCCTGCAGCAGTGTATTGGCTGGATGCAGGTGCTCCAGGTAATGTTACCTGATAGATCACATCCCAATAACCCACCTACTGTTTGGAGGAATTTTGCTTTGGCTTTGCTTGTCCTTCTCCAGGTAAAATAACACCCCCTGGAGCCATCCTGGGTGCAACACTGATGACTTCAGCTCTGCTCTGGCTCTCAGCCAGGGCACTGGTAGCATCGGGGTTGGGAATAGGGCAGGGAGTCTACCTACCCTGGGTAGGATGACCTTATAGGCAGGCCCCAGGGATGGACTGGGACCTCCTGCTGTTGGGCAAGCTGTAATTTGAGCCAAGAGGAGCAGTGGGCATCCTGCTGGCACGCCTGTCCTCGATGGGAGACCAGCTCCTTGTGGAGTCTTCTCTCTCGCTCTGTTTGCTGGCTTGGCCTGTTCAGCCCAGGAAGCCAGCTAGCTTCTCCCTTTCACTTCCCCAAACCCTGGCCCTCGCCCAGCATGTGGCCACATGGGAAGAGGAACCAAAACTTTCTCCACGACGCAGACAGATGGAGTCAGGCTCCCCGTGATGTCAGTGCGGCAGGCATGGATTTCTGCCACCCGGTTCCCCAGGGGCTGTGACCCAGCCCTGCCGTGGCAGGGGTAGCAGCGCCCACCTTCCCTCTGAAAGCCCCCTGTCTTGGTGTTCAAACCCCAGCCCAATGAGCAACCCTGGGGGGGTGGGGGGGTGAGTGAGGTGCTCTGTATTGGAACCCGATCCCAGCCCAGGGCTACTGGTGTAACAAGAAGTGACAGCTGGTGGGACAAGATGGCATTCAGCACAACTTGGCAAAGAAAGAAGGTGAAAGGGCTGTGGCCAGGGGAATTGGCCTCCATGGAGCAGGGGCTATGGGCTGGATGGGATTCCTTTAAGGATGGGGTGTAGATGAGCCCTTTCTCACCAGCCATGGCAGGCAATATGAGAGGAAGGCAAACAGCACGTGGGAATGGTTGAAGATAGTGGGGGCTGCCGAGGGTAAATTACTGGGGGGGAGGTGTATCCTAAAAGGATTTGGGGGCAAGCTCTGCCCTCTGCAGCTGCGGGATCAACATCCCCTCTGGGGTGAGTTTTGCCATCCTTCCCCTGTTGCTTCTGCATCTGGCCCATATTGGAGGTGGGAGCCTGGGGTAGATGGGCCCCTGGGCTGGGCATCTCTGGGCCTTCCCTGGCTCTGATTTCAAGGGGAATTTCCATTCCTCCTGGAACCCACCTGGCTCTGAAGATGTAGCTTAAATGAATATCTGGGAGCCCCTGACAGTTGTACCTGAGACTGGGGGTTGGGGAAAAGGCCTGTATCCCACCCAACCTACAGCCCGATGTCAGTGATAGCATCCCCAGGAGGGAGGGACCAGGGGAGCTGATGGCCAGGGCTGCTTTTGGGGGCACAGTGTGAAGCTGTTTTGGGGTATAGATGCTCTGGGGTGAGGGTCTCTCTCACCTTCCCGCTGAGGCTGTTTTGCTGGTTGGTATGGAAGAACTTGAACCCAGACCTCCCAGGTGAGCATCCTAACTAACCCTTGCATTCAATGTCCATGCTATGAATGTGGGATTACTCCCTGTGGAGTGGGGCAGATTCACCTAGGGTGAAGCCTTCCCCCACCTCCTTGAAGACCCCAGCGCAGAGGCTCCTGAAGCCTTGTCAGCAGAGGGACATCACATGCAACACAAAAGCCACCTGCTGCATGATGCCGGTTAGGTTTGATCACCCTTAAAAAAGCCCCTGTGTAGGCTTCACTTTGGGAATCCCCATGCTCGAGGCTGCTGGCTGGGCAGAGCACTTCCTGCAGTGCGGGGGAAACAAACCCCATCCTCCCGCCTCATGGGTGAGCTGTGCTGGGGCAAGTGAGTAGGAATGGTCATGTGTCCATCTCCTGCTGTGACTTGAGACAGGGCTGATGCAGACACCTCCCCTCCCACCTAAAATAGCCCTGGGCCTGCTAGTTGGAGACTTACCTGGGGGGCTAGAGATGAAACCCATGTCTCCCCTGGGGGAAAGGGGTGCTCCAACCCCATGGGGTGGATAAGGGAGCAGGGGGCAGCTCCAGTTTTGCTTCCTGGGAGAGGCCTGGTGGAGGTGCCTCACTCCAGAAGAAGGTCCTTGGCTATGGATACCCCATGGGGGGAGATGGATGCTTCTTCCAGCACCAACCTCCCCCTGAGTGTGATGGGGGCAGAGGGCAAAGCCCTTATCTGTTTCCTTTGGGGGGCCTCTCTGCTTTGCAGGCTTATTTAGGGTCCTGGATATCAGCCCCCACCCCCAACCTATGAGATCCCACTCCTCCCAGAGCTTGGGGCAGAAGCAAGGAGTCCTGACTCCCAGTCTCCTGCTTGAACCCCCCAGATGCCCCACTCCCAGAGCCAGCAGTGGACCCCAGGAGTCCTGTCCCCCAGCTCTTCCCCTGTGGGTCCCTAATGGGTCTCCAGTCTTCCATGGGAGTGGCACTGGGCATTATGGGATGAGGCTGAATTGCTCTAGGGATGGGGGTGTTCAGATTTTGGATCCGGGTCTCGTCGGGGGAAACGGTGAAGCCTTGGATGTCTCTAGAAGGTTTGGATTTAAGGATTTCTGCAGAAAGCCTCTTGGACTAGAGGGCATCAAATTTGTCTCACTTGCCCCCAGCATCAGACCAAGACTAGCCCCATTAGGGCACGACCCTATGGGCTGGGGAAGCTGGTGCCCCTGCCCCAGCTCAGCCCGTCCTGGAGCGTTACCCTGGAGGTTCACGAGAGCTGCAGTCCTGTATCCCGAGCCTGGGAGTCCCTGCCCGCAGTCACTCTGCAAACATAGATGCCTGCTCCTCCACAGCTTGAGTCTCTGTCACGGCCCTCCCTGCGCGGAGTCTGCTGGA